CAGAGGAACTCTTTCCCCTTGTACCAACAGGGAAGCACTCTAGCAATTGCTTTCAACACTGTATCTAACTCACTTTTCAAAAAAGAGACAGGTTTTTGCAAATCAGAATCTCACATGAACCCACATCTGCGTTACTGAGCAGTTAAAAGTTACTATAGCCAAAAAGGAAAGAAAATTATTCCCATGGTACTGTAATAATTTCTAGACTGCATCAGTGTCAATCTGAAATAACAGAACAAAATATGTCAAGTTTCTACTGAGTCATGTGTCTTCAGAATTTAAATACTCTTAGCTATAGTGGTAACAGAAATCCATAACCATGAATAGGAGCACATTTGAACCACGAACTTTTCCAGCCTAGGCCATTCTATGATTCTATGATTCCTGCAACTCTGCTAAAAGTCAAAAAGGATATAGAGAGGACATATAAAAATCAGGAGGAAATGCATACATCTAACTTTGCCAAGTAGGCCACAAAGTTCAGAAACAACAGATTATGTGGGCCATTTGGTACCTAGAGAGCTCAAACAGTCTAAATCTGTGTGGTTTGGAGGCACTCCTGCCTAAAACCATGCCAAGTGCTTCACTCCTCCCTTCCTCTGCCCTGAATATCAGAGTAACAACTGAAAATTACCTGCTCTGTTTTTACAGGTTCTGGACTCTCTTGTCAAGATGGCTGTCATGTCCCATCCCTCTCCAAACCTTTAGTCTCCAGCCTTCCCTCTTTCCTTTCACCTACTCTCCAAAACTCACTGGTAGTATACTCCATAGTAATAACATTCCCTTTGTAACCTCCCTTTCCTCAGGGAATATAGAAACAGAGGCTTACATCAAAGTCTGGCACACTGGGCTCTCTGAAGTCATTCCATAATCTTCTGGGAATAACCCCCACAGGAATGTCGTGGGTCACAATCCTACTGCTGCTTGATAAGGATGGCTTGAGGGAGAGAGAGGATGCTCTTGCAGTTAAAAGCAGGACTTGAATTCTTAATTCAAATTTTTAAGACCCACTCCGGGAAATACTGTAACTGAGTGCCCCTGACACTCAGTTCCAGTTTTCCACAGGTTCCTATCAGTCCACTTGTTAAGCAGATTTCCTTTTGAATGTGGAAGAGGTTATGAGGTATCAGTCATTAGTATCTATAAGCTGTCCTTAGAGCTGAAGATGTGAATCAGTTAACAACATTAAAAAAAATTAGAAGACAGCAGTTCAAAATGGAATGGCAGGACAATTAAAAGCAAAACACTACGCTGAAACCTCCTTCACCTAAACGCTTCAATGAGAAGGCAATAATACACAGAAGATTTAGAAAATTAAGAAGTGGAGAAAATTGAACATTACAAAAAGGTATTTCAATCGCATAGCTTTTATTCTGTCTCCACTCCTTCCTTGCCTTTTGGAAAACATAAAGCTGGTTCTGTGTGCTACCAACCATGATGGCAGGAAAGGCCAGTGAAATAGAAAACGGTATGATTTTTCTTTATTTAGTTTTCTAGAATTACACCAAGGACTAGCAAAGCTTCTGTTTGATCTTCGGAAAAGTACTCAAAAATTAAGAGTTTTTTCTTAATAATGAAGATTAAAACACAGCTACACTTACTAGCTCCACAGCAACTCTGAGACAGGGACAGTGTTTGTTAGTCAATTTGATCTTCACTGCTTTAGCATTCTGGGCAGTTTTTAATGCTCTTGACAGGTTCTCAGGCATCAACTCTAAATAGATTTCATTGTGCTCTGCTGCTACTCCTTCCATTTGAAATTCATCGAAGAAATTCCCCTACAATTTTGGAAAGTTGGGAAATAAAATAAAGCAAATGAAAAAATAAATAAAAGATGGGGGAACAAGTTTTACCTGTCAGACCTTAAGCCTAAAACTGCATGTTTACAGTGGGAAGCCGTCCTCTGCCTGGCATCACCAGCAGTAATCTTAAGACAGGCTGCATAAGCATGAAGGTCCATGGCTTCAGGTTAAACCTGTTAATTTCAGATCCTGCTCTAACACCTATCAGTCCTCAAAACAAGGGGTATGACGGGTGAGTTACATTTTCCTATTTCCAGTTTGGGGAAGGCACTTAGGGGCCTTTAGCTTTACACTGAAGCGACAACCAAGGCAAAGGAAACATCCAGCCAGAAACACCAAGCTTGTGCAACTAAAAGGCAGTCCTGCAAACCAGAGTGTCTCCGGTGACCTGACAGGCCTTGAGAGACCTGGCACACCCCGGGTGTGGGGTACACACACAAGAAACGCCTCATACACAAGACCCAACTGCATGCTCTGTTCTTCAATAACACGTGGTTATTGACCTTCCCCGGACTTACCTGACACAGCTCACACCACATACTGACACCTCCATTTGCCACTTTATCGGAGAGGATGAAATACAGCTTGCCGATAGTGAGGCGCAGCGTGCAGGTCTTGGCTAACTTGGCGATTGTGTTAATTACACCTGGCAGAGAGAGGGGGAGGTTACAGCGGTAACTGCTTCACATATTTCGTCCCAGGGGGATAGGGGAGAAACATTCAGCCTCCAAAAAAGCAGCTCATGCTGCTGCGGTAGCTTCCAAACACTCGCGGAGAAGAAAAGCACCTCACGCCGCCTCCCTCCAGGAAAGGCCTCCGG